CCTATTAAACATTGACTGCCTGCTCCCTTTTCTCCCATTCCCTGTTCTGCTTCCCGTTGCTTGACTTTTACCTGTGTTAGGACTTCATCTAACGGGAATTATGCAGTACTTGTCCCTTTCTGGGTCTGGTTTATTTCACTTAGCTCAGTGTCCTCAAGGTTTGTCCTCGCTGGACCCAGTGACAGAATAAGGCCGAATAATATTTCATTGCACAGACACAGTACATTTCGTTTATCCACTCATTTATTGATAGACTTTTGGGTTTTCTTCCACATGTGAAGGCTGTAAAGTTTTGGGTTTTGGCAGAGGGGTCTTTTGATTCTCAGAGCCTTTTCTACCGTGCCATAAACCTGAAAGCCCCAGGGTCCTTTTCAGAAAGGATGACAGAATGACACGGAGGTTTGGGGCTGTGGCCCCCCCCACACCTAAATCCAGTGCCGGCCAGCTAAGGCTTGGACCTTCTCAGGGCTATCCCTAGGCTCTAGGCTAGTGTGGCACGGGGACTGTGTTGGGGTCTAGATTTAGAGCAGTCATCTTGTCGGGAGGCACCATAGTAAGAGAAATAGCGCCAACAGGGGCTCCTCTTGGCTGGGCAGTCCGTTGCTGGGCTGGGCAGCACAGGGCACGTGGCTTCTCCCAAGGCCTGTGTTTCTCATCTGGAGGGTGTGGGCAGAGGTGGCCTTCTAAACAGTTGCTGAGGTCTCTTCTCAAGCTGTGGTCCTTGATTGTGGAAATGCCCAAATAGCCAACAGATGGGTGGTCTGTAAGGTGACCTCTAGGTGACTCCAGCCAGGCTCTTGGCCACATATGACATAGGAGAGGCCAGGCCCTCTGGGGCCATGTTGCAGGAAGTCGTTGTGGGGAACACTGCTAAACTGAATGGAGTAAGGCAAAAAAATTTTAAAAAAAAAAAAAAAAAGTGAGACTGGGCTCGGGGAGTAGGGGGTAGGTGGTGGGAAAAGACAGAGTCCATGGTCTTCAGCTTCCTGTACCTGCACCCTGGCTCAGGAGACCCCCTATTCCTTGGCTTGCTGCAGGGGAGGAGGACAGGGCTAGAGGCAGAGGGCCCAAGGGGCCTCCAAAACTAGGACTGGGGTCCACCGTGACCTCTTCATTCAGGCACAGTGCCCTGTCCATCCACTGCCTCACTTCTCTCTTGGTCTCTGCCACCCTGTCTTCCGCGAGGTGGCCTTCGTTCCATTTCTGATGATCTGTCATGGTCCTCATGAGGCTGGGGCAGCCAGAGCCTAGGCTTTCTCTGTCTTACACACACACACACACACACACGCACACGTGGGAGGGGAATCCTCTTCTCCAGTGGGGTGCATAACATTGGGGATGGCCGACCTCCGCTCTGCCACTCAGGACAAGGAGTTGTCACTTTGAGGTGTTTGGTGTGGCATATGGGAGAGGGAGTCAGTACTGGAACTTGGAAGCAGTCTTGCTCTGGCTTCAGACCCTCATGTCAGAAGTGAGAGCTTGATCCAGTGGAGCTGAGAGTCACCAGGCACCTGTGGGTGTAGGCGTTCCTCCCCATCAGTCCTCGCTGGGGGCCACACGGTCCCTGCTGGAACCCCCGTGGAGTTGGAGGGTGTGCTAAGGAAATCAGCACAGAGGTGCAAGGCTGTATTTTGGCTTCTGGTTTCAGAACTTTTAAGTCCTTGGAGAGCTGCCTGTGATGTTTCTGGGCCTTGGGGAGACAGAACATGACGTGTGATGGAAAAAAGCTGCTCACCTCATGGTGGCCAGGAAACAGGGAGGGAGGGAGTAGCGCAAGGGGCTGGAGACAAGATACAGTTGTCGAGGGTGCACCCCTGATTACCTACTTCCTCTAAAGCAGGTCCCATCCCTACCTCCCAATAGTCCATTAAGCTCTCAATCCCTAAGTGGGTTAATCCATTCATGAGGGTGGAGCGCTTATGAGCCGGTCCCTCCCAAAAGCCCCACCTCTGAATCCTGTGGCACTGGGGACCAGATCCAAACCCCACAATGGGCAGCGACCTTGATAAGTGACTCTGCCTGCCCTCTGTTCTGCCTTTACTTACCCTGGGCTCACTCTGGGCCAGCATCACTCCGAGGGCCCAGTTATGGAAGCTGGGCAGCTTTCCCTGGAGGCCCTGGGAAGCGACCGTCCCATCTGCGGCACATGCGCATCTCCCCACTGTGCACAGAGGATGCTGAGGTGCCTGCATCACCACATGCACAGCAGGCAGCTTGTCAGCACCTGGTGCCTCCAGTCCAAGTTCTCAGACTCCATGCTGTGCTCTGAGACACCGCTCTTGGTTACCTGATCTGTAAAATGGGGCTAATTCCACTGAGATTATTTTAAATTTTCAGTAAGATAATCTCAGACAACGCTTCATTCTTAGCTCTGGCTTGATAAATAGTGGCTGTCATTATTTTAATGGGCTCTGCCTCAGCCACCTTTACCTCCTGTGTGCCCCCCAACAAGGCCAGCTCACCCTACCAGGCCTCTGCCCCCTTTTCTCTGATGCATGGGATTACAAAACCTGCTGAGAGATGCTCAGGGCAGAGCGGGGTCGGTGGTGAACACGGTTCGCCTTACCTCCAGGGGCAGGGTCCTGGACTAACCAGGCAGCTGGCAGTGGGCTCTGTACAGCTCCTGCTCTGCTCCCCAGCCCCTCCCCAGCCCTGCCTCCTCCACATGCTAATTATACTTGCAACTCTAGTGTAAGCAAATAATAACAAGGGCATTATCTCCCTTTCGTCTGTGTTTTTCCCTGTCTATCATAAAGTAATTAAAATAATGAATGCCTTGTAAAACAATAGGTAAAAGGGCTGGCAAAATAGCATTACTGCCATATACCTCTTGTGCTGTGAATTACTGGTGCATTAAAATCAGGTGGCTGCAGGGGGACTCCGGCCTCCCAGCCTTCTCCATACTTATTTCTCTCCTCTGGGGACTGCCAGAGGGGGGCTGAGCCTCTAGGAGCAGGGAGCTCACTGTCCAGGTCCCCCGGTGGCAGCTGGGGACCAATTCAGAAGCATCCCTGGCAGGCTCTGCCGAGAAGGACACAGGAGCCCTTGGTTCGGTGGTCTGCTCCTTGCCCCGTCTTCCCCATTCCCTTCCACTGTCCACTTCTGAAAGAAGGTGCTCCTGGGTGAAGGAAGAGGCCAAGAAGGTGCTGGCATTTAAGATCCATGTCCTATTTCAGGGCTCCCATGTCCTGCCAGGATGGTCACAGCTGAAGGTCCCAGCCCCTATGAAGAAGCAGTATTGTCCCTGTCTTATAGGGAGCCCCACAGTAGCAGTAGCAGGAGCAGGAGGGTAGGTTTTCCCTGGGCACCTGCTCCTCTGGTTATCATGATTCCCTTGGGTAGGGGCTTCTGTCTCTCTGTGGAGACTCATCTGTTCGGTCTCAGGTGGCTGAGAGGTTGGGGCTAGGACAGGTGCTAATGGGCCACTTCGGCCGGCCTGGGAGGCCGGGGCAGCAGGTCACACACCTGTCCGCAGGAGGCCCTGCAGTGCTACCCCGTGGCTTCCCTTCCCAAGATCACTGGGTTGTTCTGGCTGCATGGGCTTAGCACACTTGGAAAGGAAATAGTCACATCCTCGCTACTGGTGTGGTTCCTCTTGTCCCCAGCCTCCCCAGGGCAAGGGTGGCCAGAGAGAGATGGGGGGCGCTGGCATGAGGAGCAGCTTCCTGGCTGCCCAGGTCCATTGTCAGGGCCTGATTCATACTCATACATATGTCCAAACCACCGGCCTCCGTGCCCATCTGTCTCCACCTGCCCAAACCCGCTTATTCCAACCAAGGTTTTTACCTTCGCCTTGGATTTCTCCACTCACTCCAAGGCACAGTGAGGGTTTCTTTGGAGATTAATTTTAGGATTTTTAAGGATGAGTGCAATTTGCTGGCAACTTTTCACCCATTTTCATTTCCGGTGGAAAAAACCACCTCAGTGTCTACTTGAATATGAGACCAGTTAAATTTACATTTAACTATATAATGAATAAATGTTCTGTCCAGGTATGCTCTATGCAATATGTGGGACACACACTGAAATAAATCATCGTTTGTGGGTATTTCTCTATGCAGCTGGCAGCCCCGGCTCTGTGGCTGAGGAGGGGCTGACTCTCAGAACCCTCTGTGGCCGCCCACCGAGGTTTATTGAGCCAGCAGTGTGCAAGGACTCTGCTGGCCACAGCAGCAGGAGAGGCACACAGGAAATGAAGTAAATAAATGGACTGCAGGGTGTCTTGGAGGTTTTAAGTGCTGTGGAAGAAATAAAGCAGGGAAGTGCTGTTGGAAGGGAAGCATTGTGGTTATGAAAGGGCAGCCTGGGAAGGCTTTATTAAGGAGGTGAGACAGGATTCTAGCTGGAGGACTTATTGGGTGCACAGGCATATAGGTTAGGGCATGAGTTCAGTTACCTGATGGAATCAGCCTGATTTCCTCAAGCAGATTTTTAGCTATGAAGGGAAATTTATCACCTCCTGTAGCTGAGAAGATTTAGTGTGGGTTTCAGGCATGGCTGGTTCCAGGTGTTCAAATAATGTCACTGATGCTCCGTCACTTCTTTCCTCTGTGGTGGCTTTATTCTCTGGGAAGAACACTTTTCTTGCTCTTTCCAGCAAATGTTCCAGGCTTTGGTCTTGGGTCAGTAGGGGTCATGTGATCATTCCTGGCCCAATCATTGTCAGGGGCCAGGGGTTGATTAATTGACCAGTTTCTGTTGTTGGAACCAACACGGGACCGTCATTGCCCCCCTTGTAACCACTTGGTGACCCTAGATGGTTTACCTTCCCTCTTGAACTTGGACTCTTTCTTTAAAATGGACAAAAAATGATATCATCCACCTTTAATAAATTCACAGAAATGTCAAAGCTGCAGCCCACCTTCCTCCCTGCCCCAGTACCTTTCTGTTCATTTCCACCTTTGCCGGGGACCCCTTTGGGCTTGGATTCTACATGGGTAGGTGTGGCATTTAAATCCAGTTGTTCCCTAGGTCTCAACTCTGGTCTTCTCTGTTGCCAGGAGGCCCAGAAGATTAACAATGGCTCAAGCCAGGCAGATGGCACTCTCAAGCCAGTGGATGAGAAGGAGGAGGCGGTGGCAGCCGAGGTCGGCTGGATGACCTCCGTGAAGGACTGGGCAGGTGTGATGATATCTGCCCAGACGCTGACCGGCAGAGTCCTGGTGAGTCCCTGGCCCCTCGCCTACACGAGGAGGCCTGTGTGTGCCGAGTGGCTTCCTGTGGGGTGTGCGGTTCTGTGTCTTCAGGTGATATTCTGGGAATGTCACTGCTGTCCTCTGGTGTCCAGGCGGAGGGCCCCTCTGGGGACGGCCTCCTGTCTGCACTGTGTGAGCTGGATTCTGCCCTGGCAGCTGCCCCCCATCATGCTGGTGCTGAAATCATTGTCAGCTTCCACAGCTACAGGCTCCAAGCATTGCTCAGGTGTCCTTATTTGTGCTGAGGTGTCGTGTGGGCCATCTGCAGCTGAGGCTCATGCCACCTCTTCTGGGTGGATTTTGTTCTTCTCTCTGATGTGTTTGGATGGAGCTTGGCTTCCCTGACTGGTCGCGTGAGGCCCTGGTTTGGGACAAGGAACATGAGTGGGACAGGCCTGGGACCAGGCAGTGCCTGGGACGTGCTCTTTCAGTGCAAAGACTGGTGTAGTCTTGGGTACGTGGAGTCCTGGTCATACCCATCAGGGTCCATGTTTCTGCCACAAGCAGCCACTCCTCACCCCATGGCAACCCTGCCCCTTGGCTTTCTTGGGTCTGCCTGGGCCTGGGTACTCCCTGTGAAGCAAGATGCATCGGGTAATTTCTCACTGTGACTCTGGAAGCTGTTTTGTATGGGCTGCCCTTTCTTGGCCGGTAGCAAGGGCCAGGCAGCAGTCATCTGACTCTTCGAATGCACAGGGGCCTCCTAATAGCTTGGTGGATCGGGGATCAAGCAGAGACTCTGGAAATAGATGTTATTACCTCAACAGTTCTTGGCAGAAACTCAGTGCGGAGGTGATTGCAAATGGAGGGAGGTGGCAAAAATTTCATGAATCAGAGTCCTTCTTGGGGAGAATTCTGAGTTGTGTTTGGGGTAAACATCTCCCACTGTCTGTGGGGAAGCAAAGACACAGGCTGGACCACCTTCCCAGAGGATGGGACCCTGAGAACTGAGGGACCCATTAGGAGCCAACTGTCCCAAGGAGTCTGGCTATGAAGCCATAGTGGATGTCAACTCAGGGCAAAATAGAAAGAGGAGGGCAGGGCTGGGGGTTTGGCTCAGTGGTGCTGCCACCTGCCTCGCAAGCGCAAGGTCCCAAGTTCAATTCCTTGTACAAAAAAAAAAAAAAAAAAAAGAGGAGAAGTGGAAAGTTAGGGTTTTGGAGGAGAAGAGAGAAACTGGTGAAGTCACTTGCTGCATTGTAGAAGAGAGGGGGAGATGATCTGGTCCCATGTGACCCAGAAGAGACCATGTCCAGTGAGGGTTTGCAGGTGGCTTGCAGTTGGCTGTGCTGTGTGACCACCGCCACCCTCTTCCCTTCCGATTCTTTGTTAAAGTCTCCATTGCTCCTCTGTGCTCGAGAGTCCATGCATTCTGCACTGGGGGCATAAAGAGGTTGGATTCTGGATTTGGGTATCCAGAATGGAGGTCGTGTATTCTACACATGGTGGTGATAGTAGGCACCTAATGGTGACAGCTTGGCTGCCCAAATGTGACAGTTCCTCGCAGCATGTGGCCATCATAGACAGCTCTATCTTTATTGGCATCAGCCAAGAGCTACTGAGCACCAACTCTGGGCCAAGTGTCCTTTGCAGGGCTGTGGAAAACAAGGACTGAGCCTGGTTTGATTGTCCCACATACGGACGTTCTTGAAGGAATGTTCGGGGGCCGCACGCAGGGAAGACAGTAGTGTGTCCATTCGTGACATAGAGGCTGCAGGGGGAACAGAGGACACACCCAATGGCCCAGAAGACACCAAGAAATAAAAACCGCCAGAATTTGGAAACAAACTGGGACTGCTTGGTAGGCCAGAAGCTGGGTATACCTTATAGGAGAGAAAGCTTTTGTGTTGTATATTGAAGTGTGAGTTAGACCCCACACACTGGAGGTGGGTAGATGGCCGAAAGGGGCATCTTTTCAAAGCATGGAAAGGGTCATGACTTATCAAAAAAGTATCAGCTTCAAGTGCCAGAGGCAACTTCACGTCCACAGACTCCGTAGTCCCAGCCTAGTGTTCATTTTGTTAGTTTCCTGGTTGAAGACAGTGCTTTTTCTTGTCCAAGCCGCCAGCTGTCTCTTTGGTTGAGACCTTTTGACCTTGCTGCACTGGAGCCACCTGGGTTGTGCAGCCCCTTGGCCTGACTGTCTTACCTTTGGGTGTGGAAACAGCTCTTCCCAGGCCTTTCTGCCTGCGATGCTGGGGTTTCGTGGAGGAAGCCCTGCTGGGGCTGTAGGAACCCTTAGATTCGACCAGCCCCTCGGCACAGGGAGCAGGGTCTCCGTGTTCTGGGTGGTGCCTCAGGACAGGCCCATCCCTCAGGACAAGGCACATGGAACTCGCTCTGCACATGGAACTGATTTCCCGCTGAGCCCCAGGAGAAAGCTGTTCTGCCTGTTCAGAACCCAAAGCTGTGTTTGCCTTGAGCTGTCCAAATGTTTACCCCTGCAAAATGGGACCAGAGCAGGACGAGATACCCGGCTGTTCAGAGTTTCCCTTTTCAATTTTTAATGTATTTTCCTTGATGTGTGCTCAGGAGCTTGGCTTCCACATCTGGGCTCCTTTCTCTCCTGTCTAATTGTCACAGGTGAGAGTCTGGAGGCCAGGATGTGTGGGTGAGGTTCAGCTTGGGAGGGTTTGGCAGGACAGCCCCAGAATAACTGTACGATCTCAGGCAGGCACACCATTCATCTGATCCCTGGTGACTTTTCGCCTGCACTGGCTCTGGTCTAGGCACAGGGTGTACAGCAGTGAGCAGCGGCCATCTAGAGTGTGAATTATTTATATTGCTGAACTAGATAGAATGCTATATAGCTCTATTTAAAAAATGACAAACGATCATCACCACTCACCAGGTCTTTTTATAGTCAACACCTGGAGCCTCGTCACCGCAGTGATGGAATTCCCTGACCCACTGGCTGCGGGTCTCAGATGAGCCTCTTTGCCTTATCTGTCCCTGGCACAAGGACAGCAAGACTGGGCAGACCAGGTCTTCCCTTGGTGCACATGGCTGAGAGATTTTGTGTCAAAGCCAACAGTAGGCTGTCAGTGGTTACTGCTTCCTCTATCTCTTTCTAAATTAAAAAACAAAACAAAACTATTTTCCGATTGTAAAAGCAGTTGGCCCTCTGCGTCTGCATGTTCCACATCCATGGGTTCAACATATCAAGTACATATCATGAATATCAGGGAGGGCCAAGTCTGTAGCGAACATGTACAACACTGTTTTCTTGTTCTTTTTTCCCCTCCATGATACAGTGCAACAATTATTTGCAAAGCATTTGCATAGCATTGTATTAGTGTTCCTAGTAATTTGGGGATGATGTAAAGCACTGGAAAGGATGTGGGTAATTTATGTGCAAGGCAGGGCCAGGGATTTAGCTCAGTGGTTCTGCCACCTGCCCTGCCTTGCAAGTGCAAGGTCCCAAGTTCAATCCCTGGTACCAAAAAAAAAAAAAAAAAAAAAAAAAAAAAAATCTATGTGCAACTGCTGTGCCATTTATATAAGGGACCCAAGCACCCTTAGATTTTGGTATCCACAGGGAGTCCTTGAGCCAATCTCCTACAAACCTTGGTGGACAACTATAAAACGGTAAGCGCTTATTTTAGAATTCTGAAGCACATTGTAAGAATCTCTGGTACATTTCCCTTCAGGACATAGGGTTGGCCCACCCCGAAGGACATTTCAGCGTAGCAGTAGCAGTACATGTCATCAGGACTTTGCCCACCTGTCCAGATGTTGTTGATGACTTTGTTTACTATACCTCACAGCATCCACTTTCCACACACACCCACAGGAAGCAGGTCTTTGCACCAGAGATTGTGGTCCTCCTGAATCCCATAGGAACACTGTGAGGTAGGAAAGGGATAGTGTCTCTCCAGTGATGGCTGGTGTGGCCCAGGTTGGTGGCCCATGGAAAAGACAGAACATCTTAGTGTTTTCCATTCTAAGCGTTCACATCTCTCCTTCATTCCTCTCTGTGTCACTTTCAATTTCCTGTTGCCCTGATTTCCTTACTTCCCTATTTGAAATTTACATGTATGTGCTTAAGTTTTGCATGCATTTTTGTGAATCAAACTGAACCTTTTTAAGAGGGAGGTGATAGCTAAACATACAGGGCAAGAAACACATCAGCAGGCCTTAGTATAGTTTCATTGTATTTTGTAGAATCATAAGCCAAAAATCAAAGTAGATATATCGGTGCAGGGTTGATAAATTTTTATGTAGCAAATAGTTTAGGCTTTGTGGGCTACATGGACCTCTCATGGCTGCGCAACTCTGCCATCGTGGTTTAGAGGAGCCATAAACAGTCATGGAGCATCATGGTGCATGATGTTCTAATAAAACTTCATTTGCAGTTACAATTGGTGGGCCAGATTTTTTTCATAAGCCATTGTCCCCTGACTCTTGGTCTAGTTCATGCCCTTATTTAGAGAGCCTAAAATTGTATAGTACAAGAGTGATAATACCAGAGAACCTGTTTATGAAGAGGAAAGTCATAGATATGCAAACACTCAGGTACGTATACACACCAGCTCCATCCGCACCTACCTCCTGAATATTCATGTTCATTTCCACATATTCTCAGAACCGCTATCGCCCCAGGGGAAGTATTTCTTTTCTTTTCTATTTTCTTTTTTTTGGGTACTGGGGATCGAATTCGGGACCTTGTGCTTACGAGGCAGGCGATGGAACCTCTGAGCTACATCCCTGGCCATGGGGAAGTATTTCTTGTGGCCAACGACAGCGTCCCCTAACAGTGTGAGCAGTGTCTACACTGCTTGGATTATCACAAACCTCTTCACAAATTCAGGGTCTTGTGTGTCTCTTCTGTTACAATGAAGTTACTAGCTCCTTCAGCAAAGACAGGGCATTTAGCAACACTCTTTTTAGTTATTTCCCCCATGTTCCTTTGCTGCTACATTTGAGTATTGCTCCAGGAAGTGTACACATCTAATTCCATGAACTGA